TAAATGAGCTTTGAAAAGGTGCAGCATTCGCTCATCACACTTGCCGGCGAGAGGAAACGGGGGCGTGCGGTATTTGGGTCATGGCAGGAGGCAGCAGCAAAGCTTACCTGGAGAGAAGCAGGTGGAGGAGGAGGAGGGGGAATATTGCAATGCAGCCTCCGATCTGGATTCATTTCAATCCACTGACTTCTGCAGGGCTTCTTAAAACTGCTTTTTTATTGTTCTTTTACAGCTGCTGCTTTTAATTGCTGCAAACCAGCCTGAGCAATGCAAACGCATTGGGGGGCCATGGGGCCTCAACAGGCCTTTGGAAGGGGACTGATTTTAACAAAAGGTCTGGTGTTGTGCTGCTTGTCAGTGTTTGTAAAAGCAAAAAAGAAGGAGGAAAGGGTTCTGACCTCCCTTTGTCTCCTCAGCCTGGTCCTCAGACCCTTGTCTGCACAAAAGAGTCCACGAGAATATCCTTGCAGAGTTTTATTCTTCAAAGTCATGCAATGCACGATTGGCTATCTTCATACACTTGGATAGGCAAATCAACCTTACAATCTAGATCTTTTAGTATCTGTATAAACCACATGATTTCGTTGCATGCTAGCGATAGGCTCCCATATTCTGCCTCACAGGATGAGGTCGCAACAAATCCTTGTTTCTTTGACCTCCACCCAATTATGGAATTAGCAAACATCATAACCATTCCACTTGTAGATTTTCTGGTAGCTACACAGCTTCCCCAGTCCGCATCAACAAATACTTCTAGTTTTTCGTCTTGTGTACTAGATGTCTTTAAACATACATTTAATGTCCCCTTTATATATCTGATAAGCCTTTTCAAAGCACACCAATCGGCAGTACTGGGTTTAGATACATGTTCGCTCAGAACATTTGTAGCACATGCAATGTCTGGCCTTGACCACTGGCTTAAATACAACAGTGATCCTATTTTTGAGTGATACAACTCAGGCTGATCAAATTCATCATCACACACTGTCTTTGGGAAATCTGGTGTCATGGGAGTTTGAACTGGCTTGCAGTTTTCCATGCCAAACTGCTCTATCAAATGAAGAATTTTCTCTTTCTGGCTCAATAGGAAGCTTCCATCTGCTTCCTGCCTTACTTCTACTCCCAAGTAATTGCTTACAGGCCCTAAGGCTTTAAGCTTAAACCTCTTTTCCAGTTGACTTGTGAGCTTCTGGATCTCATCTGTGGAACTCCCTGCTACAAGCAAATCATCAACAAAGACTAAGAGCATTAGATATTTGTTGCCTGTCCCCTTGGTGTACAGGCATGGATCAGCCACACTCCTTTTAAAACCAAGTTTTACAAGGGCTTCATTTAAACACTGGTTCCAACACCTTCCACTTTGTTTGAGACCGTAAACAGCCTTTTTCAAACGCCAGACTACCATTCCCCTCTTCAAACCCAGGAGTTGTCTCATTAACACTTCATGGTCTAAATTTGCATGCAGATATGCAGCATCAACATCAAAATGGTGCACTGCTAGTTGTCTTACAGCAGCAATGGAAAGCATTAAACGAAAAGTTTCACTCTTTACAGTGGGAGAAAACACTTCATCATAACTCTCCCCTTTAATCTGAGTGAACCCTCTGGCTACTAATCTGGCTCGAAAACGTGGTTCCCCAGATGCAAGGGTTTTCCTTTTGTAAACCCACTTGCATGACACCACTCTGCCACCAGGTGGCGGCATTATGACCTCAAACACTTTGTTACGTTTAAAAGAGTCCATTTCTTCTTTCATAGCTTGTTCCCACAAAGCACGTTCCCCAGGGGGGTAAGTCTAAGACTTCATTATAACTTTGTGGTTCCACACAACTCACATTGCATACTCTCACTCCTCCTAGGGTCAAACGCTGAGGAGGTACACCCTTGTTTGAACGCTGGGAGCGTCTAGGCACAACTACTTCTTCTTCCCCCCTTATCTCTGGCTCTTCTTCCTCTTCCTCTAGAGAAGAAGTATTATCTATTGCCACATCTTTTGGGGAAATCTGTGCCTCCTCCTCATCCTGCTCCTGTGTTGCCAATGGCTGAGAAGAAGCCTCTTCTCTTACTTGCAGGGGCAGTAGGCAATCTGGGTTGGCATGGATCGCAGTCCATCTGTCCTGGTCAGCAAAGTCTGCGCTTCGTGACAGAACCACGCGTCCTGGGCGTAAATTGAAACGCCACCCTTTGCCATAGGACTGATATCCCACAAACCGCAGTCTCTGTGCTCTAGCGCCCCCTTTCTGGCGCTGAGCTTTGGGGATATTTACATGTGCCCAAGCACCCCAGTTATGGAGCATTGTCCACTCTGGTTCTTTCCCAAACAACACACGATATGGAATATCTTTTATAGAGCTAGACCAGGTTCTATTAATCAAAAAGTTCGCTGTCAGAAAAGCCTCGCCCCACAGCCTATGGTTGTGACCCAATCCTGCATCCACTAGCAGGCAGTCCTTTACTGACTGTATTACAGCCCCACGTCTTTCACACAGACCATTTTCAGCAGGGCTATAAGGGTTAGTCAAACGATGAGTGATCCCCTTACGTCGCAACCATGTCCCAAATTGTTTGTTCAGAAATTCTCCGCCCCTATCTGTTTGCAGCTGCACAACAGGCCGAGCGAAGAGCTTTTCAGCTTGGGCAACCCATTCTCTGAATGTGGGGAAACACTCAGATTTCTGCTTTAACAAAAACAACCAACTAAAACGTGATTTATCATCTATTACCAGAAAAGCATATCTGGCGCCCCCTTCAGTCTTCTGTGGAAAAGGGCCTATCACGTCACAATGGACAAGTTCTAAAACCTCTTTAGATACTCTGTCACTTTTAGAAGCCACAGGCTTCCTCTTAGATTTGGCCATTTTACATACATTGCAATCTAGGAAACAGTTACAGCTATTTACTTTTAGGTTCTTGCACACCTTTTGCATCTCTGAAAGCACACGGAAATTGGCGTGACCCAGTTTTCTGTGCAGTTCATGTACACACCCCTTATGAACTGGCAAATTATCCTGAACCACCTGGGCTGCTTTAACAGGCTTGTCCTGCATTACATATAACCCATTTTCCAACTTTGCATGGCCACATACCTGAGTTCCATTCTTTATCAGACAACCATCCTGTGTGAAGTTAACACTATACCCTGCTTTAATCAAACAGCTTACCGACAGTAAGCAATAGTCCAAACTGCTGACAAACAGAGTCTCTGGTAGAGTAGTGTTCAAGCACTGCAGGAAACATGTTCCCTGGCCATCAATCTTGCTTCTACGACCATCAGCAAGATAGATTGAGTCTTTTCCATCAGCTGGCTTCCCCAGGGTCTTAAAGTCCTCCCGACTGTTGCAGATAATCCTGCTGCTCCCAGAGTCCAGCAACCATGTTCCTCGAGGTATCTTTCTCTCCTCTCGAGAAAATGCAGACACAAACTGAGCAGAACGCGTGTTCTTCTTCCCTGAAGAGAACCCCTTCTGCTTATGTTTCTGCGTCGATTGCTGTCTCTGCTCCACGTCGTCTCCTGGAAGTCTTGCCCTGCATTGACGTTGGAGATGCCCGGGTTGGTTGCATCTATAGCACCTCCTCACCGCCATGGCCAAGTCCAAACCTTGGCGTTGCTCCATTGGCAGATTCTGCTGCTGGCCCCCTCGGCTGTAACTCCTCCGTTCTTGGAGTTCAGCCTGTCTATCTGACCTTCTTTCTGCTTCTTCGGTCAATCTTCCAACCACATACTCAAGGGTCAGATCTCGGGGACGCATACTCTCCATGCTGTTAATCACAGGCAACCAGCTTTCAGGCAAACTTGAAAGGATAATGTATGTTTGGTCAGTCTCATCATAACGCTTACCTCTCTGCTGTAGTTGAAGAAACAGAGATTTCAGCGTTTGAAGATGAGTTGCCAAACTCTCACCTTCTTTCATAACAGTCCTGAACAGCCTTCTGGTCAGAGAAATTATAGTTCCAGCAGTTTCTCTGACATGCATTGCCCTTAATAAATTCCAGCACTCAAACGCTGTGCTGGCATTTGCTACATGCAATAACTGAGAGTTGCTCAAACACAGCATAATTTGGGCACGAGCCCTTTCATCCAGCCGTTTTTCTCAGCAGAGTTCTGTCTCAAAACCTCAGTTTCAACACAGTCCCATAGTCCATCTCTCCTTAACAACTGCTGTATTTTAATTGACCAACTCAGCCAGTTGCTCTCTGAGAGAAGTTCAAAAGGGATGCCTCCCCCAATATTTACAAGTTGGGAAGACTGGAAATCTGCCATCTCTGCTGGTGCTTGCTGAGCCCCTTCTGTGGGGCCTCCAGCAATCTCTCCTGACTCTCTCTTTAGCGTCCAACTGGATGGTCCTGGCTGGCACTCACTGGCTTTTAGCTCCTGCCTCTGTTGACTCTCAGGTCCCGTCCGGCTCTGCAACTGGTGTAGCCGCTCTGTGAGTCGCCTACTGTGGTCCTCCAGCAGTTCAAACTGTTCCAGTAGCCGACGCTGAGTGCTTTCCTGATCCTCAGATCCTAGCCGCTCCAGCGTCACTGCAGACAGTTACAGCTTGCCACCAACTGCTCCAACGCACAGCCACTGGCTCCAGGCACCACCAGGACTCACCAGCTCCCTGCTGAGATGCTGTCAGTCGTTCTGCACTCTGCACATGCTCAGGAAACTGGGCTCATAACCTGTCAGTGTTTGTAAAAAGCAAAAAAGAAGGAGGAAAGGGTTCTGACCTCCCTTTGTCTCCTCAGCCTGGTCCTCGGACCCTTGTCGGCACAAAAAGAGTCCACGAGAATATCCTTGCAGAGTTTTATTCTTAAAAGTCTTTGTGCAAAACACGACTGAATAAGAATACACACCAGCACTAACCAACCAACATTGTAATTATTGGCATATTTTAAGCAGATTTTATATGTGCATATAGTTTCAGTTCTATAAATATTTAGTTGTACTCAGTTGGGAGAGCACGAGCCTCTTAATTTCAGAGTTGTGGGTTCGAGGCAACGTTGGGCAAAAGATTCCTGCATTGCAGAGGGTTTGACTCTTGCAGAGGGCAGTCCCTTCCAACTCTACAGTTCTACAATTCTATGATTTATTTGTCTATGTTTCTCATAGAATCATAGAATCATAGAATCATAGAATCATAGAGTTGGAAGAGACCACAAGGGCCATCGAGTCCAACCCCCTGCCAAGCAGGAAACACCATCAGAGCACTCCTGACATATGGTTGTCAAGACTCTGCTTAAAGACCTCCAAAGAAGGAGACTCCACCACACTCCTTGGCAGCAAATTCCACTGTCGAACAGCTCTTACTGTCAGGAAGTTCTTCCTAATGTTTAGGTGGAATCTTCTTTCTTGTAGTTTGGATCCATTGCTCCGTGTCCGCTTCTCTGGAGCAGCAGAAAACAACCTTTCTCCCTCCTCTATGTGACATCCTTTTATATATTTGAACATGGCTATCATATCACCCCTTAACCTCCTCTTCTCCAGGCTAAACATGCCCAGCTCCCTTAGCCGTTCCTCATAAGGCATCGTTTCCAGGCCTTTGACCATTTTGGTTGCCCTCCTCTGGACACGTTCCAGTTTGTCAATGTCCTTCTTGAACTGTGGTGCCCAGAACTGGACACAGTACTCCAGGTGAGGTCTGACCAGAGCAGAATACAGTGGCACTATTACTTCCCTTGATCTAGATGCTATACTCCTATTGATGCAGCCCAGAATTGCATTGGCTTTTTAGCTGCCGCGTCACACTGTTGGCTCATGTCAAGTTTGTGGTCAACCAAGGCTCCTAGATCCTTTTCACATGTACTGCTCTCAAGCCAGGTGTCCCCCATCTTGTATTTGTGCCTCTCATTTTTTTGCCCAAGTGCAATACTTTACATTTCTCCCTGTTAAAATTCATCTTGTTTGTTTTGGCCCAGTTCTCTAATCTGTCAAGGTCGTTTTGAAGTGTGATCCTGTCCTCTGGGGTGTTAGCCACCCCTCCCAATTTGGTGTCATCTGCAAATTTGATCAGGATGCCCTTGAGTCCATCATCCAAGTCATTGATAAAGATGTTGAATAAGACCGGGCCCAAGACAGAACCCTGTGGCACCCCACTAGTCACTCTTCTCCAGGATGAAGAGGAACCATTGATGAGCACCCTTTGGGTTCGGTCAGTCAGCCAGTTACAAATCCACTGAGTGGTAGCATAGTCAAGATCACATTTTACCAGCTTCTTTACAAGAATATCATGAGGCACCTTGTCAAATGCCTTGCTGAAATCAAGGTAGGCTACATCCACTGCGTTCCCTTCATCTACCAGGCTTGTAATTCTGTCAAAAAACGAGATCAGGTTAGTCTGACATGACTTATTTTTCAGAAATCCATGCTGACTATTGGTGATCACAGCATTCCTTTCTAGGTGCTCACAGACTGTTTGCTTAATGATCTGCTCCAGAATCTTCCCTGGTATTGATGTCAGACTGACTGGGCGGTAATTATTTGGGTCCTCTCTTTTCCCCTTTTTGAAAATAGGGACAACATTTGCCCTCCTCCAGTCTGCCGGGACTTCGCCTGTTCTCCAGGAATTCTCAAAGATGACTGCCAGTGGTTCTGAGATCACATCTGCCAGTTCTTTTAATACTCTTGGATGCAGTTCATCTGGCCCTGGAGACTTGAATACATCTAAACTAGCCAAGTATTCTTGTACTATCTCCTTAGTTATTCTGGGCTGTGTTTCCTTTGCTGAATCATTTGCTCCAAATTCTTCAGGTCGGGCATTGTTTTCTTTATCGGAGAAGATTGAGGCAAAGAAGGCATTGAGGAGTTCAGCTCTTTCTGTGTCCCCTGTTTGCATTTCACCATCTTCTCCTCTGAGTGACCCCACTGTTTCTTTGTTCTTCCTTTTGCTACGGACATACCCATAAAAGCCTTTTTGTTGCTTTTAACCTCTCTAGCAAGCCTGAGTTCATTCTGTGCTTTAGCTTTTCTGACTTTGTGTCTACACGTGCTGGCTATTTGTTTGAATTCCTCTTTGGTGGTTTCCCCCCTTTTCCATTTTTTGTACACATCCTTTTTAATCTTAACTCAGTTAAAAGTTCTTTAGATAGCCACCCTGGCTTCTTTAGGCACCTTCCATGTTTCCGTCTCATTGGTATTGCCTGACGTTGTGCTTTTAGTATCTCCCTCTTAACAAACTCCCAGCCATCATGAACTCCCTTTCCTTTTAGTATTACTGTCCATGGGATCTCACCCAGCACTTCCCTAAGTTTTATGAAGTCAGCTTTCTTAAAGTCAAGAAATTGAGTCCTAGTATGCTTGGCTGCTCCTTTCCGCTGTATAGTAAACTTCAGAAGAGCATGATCACTCGCGCCTAATGATCCTTCCACTTCTACCCCACTAACCAGGTCATCAACATTGGTTAGGACCAGATCTAAAATGGCTGTTCCTCTTGTTGCTTCTCCCACTTTCTGGACAATGAAGTTGTCTGCAAGGCCAGTGAGAAATCTGTTTGACCTTATGCTCTTGGCTGAGTTTGACATCCAACAAATATCCGGGTAATTGAAGTCCCCCATTACTACTATCTCCCTTCCTTTTGCATGCTTGGCCATCTGTTCCAGGAAGGCATCATCTATGTCCTCCGTTTGGCTTGGGGATCTATAGTAAACTCCCACAATGAGGTCACTGTTATTCTTCTCTCCCTTAATTTTGACCCAAATGCTCTCACTTTGGCTTTGAGGTTCTAAATCTTGGATCTCTTCACAGGTATACACATCCCTGACATATAACGCCACTCCTCCTCCTTTCTTGTCTGGTCTGTTTCTCTGAAATAGATTGTATCCCCCATTATTACATTCCAATCGTGGGACTTATCCCACCAGGTTTCAGTGATGCCTATTATGTCATATTTAGTTTGCTGTACCAAGAGCTCCAGCTCATCTTGTTTATTTCCCATGCTTTGCGCATTAGTGTACAGACACTGAAGTCCATTAATCATCCCCCCGTGACTCTTATTTAAGGATTTTTCCTCCCACCACTAGGTCTGTGTGCTGTTTGCTCCATTTGGTCTATGACATTTGGATGATCATCTTCATCAATTGATAGACTCCTACCTTCAGGAGCACTGTCTCCCTCCCCCACATTAGTCAGTTTAAAGCCCTCCTGATGAGGTTTCTGAGATTTTTGGCAAAAACATTTCTCCCAACCGTTGTGAGGTGCAGCCCATCGCTTGCCAGAAGTCCATCTTCAAGAAACTGCAGTCCGTGATCTAAGAATCCAAACCGTTCCTGTTTACACCATTTGCGAAGCCAGCTGTTCACTTCCAGTATTTCCCCTCTCTCCCTGGGCCATGTCGTTCAACTGGGAGGACAGATGAGATGACAATTTGTGCATTTAATTGCTTCAATTTCCTGCCCAGAGCCTCGTAGTCTCTTTTGATCTTCTGGAGGCTATTGCTTGCAGTGTCATTGGTTCCCACATGAACCAAGAGGAATGGGTATTTGTCAGTGGGTTTTATGATTCCTTGCAGTCGTTCAGTTACATCTTGGATCTTAGCCCCTGGGAGACAGCACACTTCTCGAGACATCTTGTCAGGCCCACAGATCACTGCTTCTGTTCCCTCAGTAGGGAATCCCCTATCACCACTACACGCCTCCTCTTAGGTTTGGTCGGGGTTCTTCTGTGAGCTGTCCGCTCCAAGGTCGCCTGCACATTCCCTGAGGACTGACTTTGCTGCTCGTCTTCATATACCTGATCGACTGTAATGAGGGAGAGATCCTCAAATGGAGTCTGCTCTTCATCTTCCATGCTAGGGGAGAGGACCTCAAAGCGATTGTGTATTTCTAAACAATCAGAGCGAACCGTGGGCCTCCTACTTCTTTGAGTCACGTTTCTCCATATATCTGGCTCCTGTGTTGGTGAACTAGCGTCCTTCTCAGGGGAGTCCCCTGTCTCCTCCTTGGTGGAGACGGTGTGCTCTGTTGCTTCCAAGAAGAGCTCCAGCTCTCTAATTCTTTGGAGCGTAGCTACACGTTCCTCAAGTTGCTGGACTTTGTCTTTTAAGAGGGCAATCAACATGCAATTGCTGCAGGTAAAGCTGCCTGCAACCTTTGGCAAGATGGCAAACATTGCGCAGGAACCGCAGGCGACTGCAGCTGTTCCTCCCCTCCATCTTGAGAACGTGTCGTTGGGGGTGGCTACAGCGGTCCTCCATCATAAAAGCGTGAAGACAGGAAAAATAACTCCCCCCACAAAAAAACCTAGGTCTCCCCCAACAAACGTTTGAGACTAGCTCCCCTAAATCTAAAAGATGGATCAAACTGCGTGCGCCGCTGCCCTGCGATTTTTGTTTCGCGGTTTTTGTTTTTATCTGTAAGCCGCCTTGAGTTCTGTCAGGGGGAAAGGTGGAGCATAGAGAAATTAGTAACAACAACAACAACAACTTGATAATTCTGTGATTCCAAGCTTCCCTTGAGGGATGTTATCACTTTGCAAGCTGAGGGTGCATTTTGGGTGCATCACCATGGAGGGGGCACCTGAAATTGGCTGCTTTCAGCAGTAAAGCAGTGGGAGCAGGCGGAACGTCCACACAACTTTTCCTAAGTCCAACTGCATAGCTTTTGGTCCAGCGTCTCCACTCCCATTGTTCTGCCTGGACACTGAGGTCCAGCTCCGAGGGCCTTCTGGCAGTTCCCTCCCTGTGAGAAGCCAAGTTACAGGGAACCAGGCAGAGGGCCTTCTCGGTGGTGGCGCCCGCCCTGTGGAACGCCCTCCCACCAGATGTCAAAGAGAAAAACAACTACCAAACTTTTAGAAGACATCTGAAGGCAGCCCTGTTTAGAGAAGCTTTTAATGTTTAACAGACCACTGTATTTTAATACTCTGTTGGAAGTCGTCCAGGGTGGCTAGGGAAACCCAGCCAGATGGACAGGGTATAAATAATAAATTCTATTCTATTCTATTCTATTCTATTCTATTCTATTCTATTCTATTCTATTCCAAGGTAAAAATAAGGTGCATGGGCAACACAATTGCTCCTAGCTACGGAGAAGAAGAATAGCCTCAGAATAAATCAGCAGGCACAGGGTTGGGCCCTGGGGGGCCTTGACAGAGAACATTTTCTCGCGGAAAACAGCTTCGCCCATGCCGGCCCCAGACCTCCTAATCAGCCGGCCTTGTTTGCTGGACCTGCTCCATCACATCTGGGGGCAGAAGCCC